TGTTCTTGTCATTAATAAAACCTAAGCATAAAATATTGGATTTCAGAGATAGGATATACATATATATTTTGAAATTTGGCCCGTATGTTCCTCTTGGCTTCTACATACTAAGAAAGGATTTTTCAAAATGACCATCAGAGCATTAGTATTTCATATATTATTAACACACTCTGATGCTCAGGAATTCTACTACTACCCAGTTGAAAAGAAATCTGTTCCAAATGCAAAACACAAGCAGAGGAGTTTCAGTTTTAGTTTCGCAGCAGCAGCCAGCTTTAATACAGACCAGTTGAGCTAAGCCATGCCCAGGCTCCTTGCTGTCTCCTTCTTGCTCATACAGCAAATACTGTTTCAGTTTCCATGTTTCAGTTTCTAAACAGCCCTCAACTATCTCATACACAGACAGGACACTAGCCAGATGAATACCGATGGATGCTGGTAGGCAGAGGAACAATTTTTCCCCTTATTTTCCTCCCCCAAAACTAAGCTGATATGGTTGTAATTCTGGGGTCTTTTGTGCCATATTTTCTAACATTTTTATTTGATGTACAGTAAATTATTTTATATTATTTTATGCATGTCTGTCTGAAAATGGATCAGTAAAAGTATTTGGAGAAGCAGAGACATAGTCGAAGGGTTGAACTAGCATGCCTGAGAATCCCTGCGATGTTTATCTTGGTCTGGCCTACTTTAAAGGATATAATAGCAGCATCTTGAAGGCTTGTCTATGTTTCCATATTTCCCCTCTTAGACTAATGAAATCAAGGAGGCATTATTCTCAGTTTCTTATGCTTGCTTTGAGTCTGCACCATCCAATTGCTTATCCAACTCCATCATTTATGGGTTCTTTTGTACCAAGTTCATTTCTGAATTTACAAATACAGTACATTGCAAAGGGATAGAGGTGGAGAAGGACAGACAGTGGAGTAACACAGTGAAAGGCTACATGGGATACAATTTACAAGCATGATGGTGTACACACATTAGAGGAAGAGGATCTGAAAGTTGTTGGAGCCCATAATAGTTCTGTTATTATAAAAGTGAGAGCAAAGCAGACATCTGGGCTTGTTCCCTTTGTCTTTCAGCAGTGCACCTTTGGATTCTGTGTCAGGCAGTCTAGAATTTGCACAAAAGAATTCATGGTCACAAGTCGGACATCAGGACTCAGCAAGCATAAACTAATAATGGAGCATTTTAACCTCTCGGGACATTCCAATAGAAATCTCAGTGAAGCAATTTCAGAACAAGGAAACTTTGCCAGCATAACTGAATATAAGAGGTTTTAGATTATTTCAGAAAGTCTGAACAAAGACAATGGATTTAACACATTATGATTTTTAATTGATTAAATCCTTTTTTAATAGATGCCACCAGATTCTTTTTCCGATTTTTGATTATGAAATCAAAATTCAGACCCAGAAAAACCTGCTGGGCCTGAATTAAGAGGTATAGGTTCTGACTTGGCCTCGTGCTTCTCAGTAAATGGGCTGTTTCTAATGATTACCATTCCTGAGGTATAAATGATTATTTTGTTCCCAGCTCTGTTTTTCAAAACGTCTGCTTGGAGGAGCTTGACTGGCAGGTTGAGTATTCTTGCTAATGAAAAAATGGGCATAACAACATGAAAATGGACTACAGGAATTTAATACAAAGACAAGATTAGCACAATACTGGCTTTTATGCAATTTCCTACATAATGAAGCACAGTCAGAAATAAATTGATTCAGCTTCTAGACGGATAATGTCCAGAAAACAAGGCTGAAGTTGATGCAAAACTGGAATTTTCAGGAATTCTGGACACTTCAAAAATCCTTGTCGTCCCCCCCCCAATCTAGTTAAGCCACCAGCAACCTAAGCAAAACTCCAAAATGCCAATTTATACCAACTGAATTCTGAAATTTCTGAACTTCCTTGATTATCTAGTCACTTTCAGAATATATTTTGCCAAAATATTGTTACCAATACTTTATCAAACAGCTTTTTTCATCCTTACTTTTTGCATCTTTAGTTTCCTTTATCATTGTTTTTTTTAAATCTGGCTCCATGTCCTTGACATTATTTGATCCTGCTTATCCCCTGCTATATGTCTATTCAATTTTTCATTGATTCCTTATTTCTGTGTAATAGGCCATATTCTGAAGCAAAGGTAGGTCGGATCAGAGCAAGACAAATCCTGTTGTGTGTGTTGTTTTTTTCATATCCTATAATTGTTTAAGAATCAAGAAAAACTACTATTCTGCATTGCCCTGTTGGATCACTGAACTTTCCTTAGCAAAACAGTGGAAGTGGAAGTAATTTATTTCTTACCAGCTTCTCCACTGAGTTTCCTTATGGAAAGCTGGCAGGGAGTATCAAAAACTTTTCTTCCTTCAACCCTTCCTTCTTTCTCACTGTTCTTCTTTTCTTCCTTCCTCCACCCCTCCTTCCCATACTCATTTCCTTTCACCCTTTATTTCCTCTCTCTCCCTTTCTCTCACTTCCTCTCTCTTTGTTCCTCCCTCTCTTCCATCCTTCTTTGCTTCCTTTCTTTCCTCCCTCCCTTCTCCCCTCCCATCCTCTCTCTCTCCCTCCCTCCCTCTTTCCTTACCTCTCTTCCTCACTGTGTCTCCCTCGTCCTCATTCACTTCTTCCCTCCTTCCTTCCTTCCCTAGAATTCCTTCCTGATTCCCCATTTTGCTTTTGAAAAGCTTACAGGGAGAAAGTCAGTGGGGAAGCCAGCAGGAAGTTGCAAGTCCAAGGCAAGCAGGCTGGTAACTGACTGCTTCCGGATGGCAGAGGAAATCAAGGGGTTTACAGGTCAGGAATGGTAGACAGGAGTGCGCGAGCAGTGCCTTGTGGGTTGGGAAGAGTGTGTGGGTGTGCAGTAGAGGCAGCATGTTATTGGGAGCAAGCATAGGTTGGGAAAGGTGTCCCAGGAGGCACAAGAAGTACTGTGTGGATTGGGAATGGCGTATGAGGTGCAGGGTAGGTTAAGAAGGGTTCGAGGAGGTTATGGAGGTAAGAGATACCATGCAGGTCACCTAGGGCACCAGCACAGGTTAGGAAAAATGTATGGGGGTAGGAAGAGTATGAGTGGTGCCATGCCAGTTAGGAATGGCAGACTGGGCGGGGGGGGAGGGCTGCATGGGCTCTGAAAGCAATCTAGTGAAGAAAACTTGTGGAAAAAGAATTAAGATAAACTTCAGAAAAAGGATTCCTTCCCAGATAAACAGATGCAGGGTTTAGAGTAGAATATCTGAAGAGGATAAAGGGAACAATTTTTATTCTTTCAGAGCTTTTTCTGATTACTTCCATTTTAAGATGGATTTTATCAATGCATTCACTAATGGAAGGCTGAAAAAAGCAAGAATGATAAGAATACTGTATACAATATTGTATGAAAGGAAGAGAAGCAGAGAGCCATACAGAAAGCAACCACGGTGTCCTTGTCAGCTCTATACAATAAAAGCCAAGACCAGCAACACCCTATTTATAATTGTGAGAAAAGAAAATGTTTACATGCACAGTTGCAGGAATGAAAAGGAGAGAAAATGGAAAAAAGCTTACCTGACTTTAAGCCAATTAAAAAAACAAAAAAGTTTTATTTTCTTCGTATGTCTACCTATCTTGCAAATATAACTCTGGCTATCTAACAAAATTGAGAAACAATTCAAAACAAACAATAGCCAAAAGCAAAGACAAGCATGCTATGCCAACCAAAGAAACTAGGAACCAGCCCATCTGGACTAAACTATCCTTTTAACATTGAGACCTGGGGAAATAGCAAGTTCTTAAGAGCTTTCCAAAAAGCCAACTTAATCCTGGATTGAGCCTTAACAGAAAAGGCACTAAATAGAAGTATATGGTCAATACATTTGGGTTTGATCATATATAGAGAATTTATGAACACCTAATTGCATAAGAGAAGGAATGAATAAGTTAAGAGGAAGAACAAAAATGTCATAGTTGGATGGAGCTGATTATATGTTCAAAGAGGCCACCCAATATTTAGATGTGATGAAAGAGTGGTTTGAAAAGATAGAAAGATATGGAAAAGTGCGATAGTGAATGGTGTTGGTATAAAGTAGATTTAGTTTCCCTTTTCTGATCTCCCTAAATTAATCAAATTTAGATAGAAAATCAGAGAACATCTCAATCAATTGGATTAGGAAAGTATAAATTCATTGATACATGTGGGACTTGCCAAAAAAGATTGCAGTATGGCATTCTCTTTTTCAGAATGCCAACCAGACGCCATGACATTTCTGCATATGTATTTTGTGTGATTGGTGCCAATTGGCTACATAAGGATTTATAAATAATGAATTCACTATTAGTTTTCAATATTCTTCTTATAGCTGGGAAGAGCAAATGGGAGTTACCGGTAAATGCTTGTGTTCACTAACAGGTAGATTGTGGCCTAAATCTAACTTAGAATCATGGGCTAGGAGAAATGTCTTAGGCAAACACTGAGAGAGAGGCTAACATATTATTTTATTTCTTTGAGGAGCAAAGTGAGTTTTATTTCTATTTATTGGAGTAAAATATAAAACTTAAAACATTCAAATAACCATTCATAAAAATAAATTGATATTTATGAATAAATCGCATGTTAGATAATACTTGGGAAAAATTCTGAGGTTATACTTTCAGTGTGGGAAGTTCTGAAATGTTATCTTTGATGGGAAAGATGCTTCATGACAGCTGATCCTTTTTCAACTGAACTACTCAAATATCTTTTTGTCTAATTAATATCTGCATGGCTATTCCTCCATAAATGATTTTGCTTTTTAAAACAAACCTGAATTGTATATTTCTCAATATTGAAATACCGTACGTGTTCCTCTTCACTTTTTAATTGAATCATTACTCAGTAAATCTTATCTCCCTGTATCAAGGAACTTCACTGTTAGTTTTTCACAACTTTAGGGTAGCTTTTTTCAAAACATCTGGCATACTTTATTGGTGGGTAAGTTTTGAAGCTGATCTCTCTGAATAATTGTTGTTGGTTTGTTTTCTAGCCATGTGACACAAACAACATCCTGGATCCATCCTGTCACTAATGTACTTGCCTTGTCATGCTTGGAAGGGAACGACGATGATAATTTCAGAGAACTTCCAGATCCACAAATCTGAGACCATAGATGAAAGACAACCTGCTTTCAACAGTTTATTCATCAACAGAAATAAATTAAAGCTTAGTTATTGTTTCTGTATAGCAGATTTTCAGGATAAACAATTGCCCTCACAAGATCAGTTTCATATTCCAAGAGCTTAATTTTAATATTGTTTTATGTCCTTCCCGTTACAAATTCATATTCCTTGCAAATCAACCATGAATAACTTCTTGCATTCCTGATAATTACTGCTGGTAAAAGATGGTATCTGGCCCAAGAGCTGAATTGTTTCCTATTGTATGTTATTCAATAGTGCTGAGTCCCTCAAGCTAGTTTGGGGGTTATAGAAAGGTAACAAAAACAGGTGTTGATTTTAGGGTTTTGTTTTGGTGACTTTGAGTCAACGTTGATCGTTATGACACTTTGGACAAGTCACTGAAGGGGGGGCGGGGGTTGCAAGATTTTGGAAGTGGTTCACTCTTGCCTTCTTCCTAGGGCTGAGAGAGAATGACCCAAAGTCACCTAGCTGGCATTGTGCCTAAGGCAAGACTAAAATTCACAGTCTCTAGATTTCTAGCCTGGTGCCTTCACAACTTCATTAGATTGGCTCTCCAGTTATTTACTTAGCGATTGCATTTTTACTGGAGGGGGTGGGGTTGTTGCTTAAAAATGTACTTCCTAAGATATCTTTGAGGAATTTCCAGTGGAAATTCAACACTATTTGTTCTCCTAGATCTGGAAATATCACCCTAGCCATTCTTTATACCTGGTAGAGCAAGCTGTACCTCACCAAAGCTTATGGCATTTAATAAAATGTATTAGTCAGCAAAGATGCTACCAGACTCTTTCTGACACTTTGTCACCATAGACTAGCATGGCTGTCTTCTTAATGTCTCTTCAAAATTAATGATGGATCTGTTGTGCAATTCTTTAGTCCCATACGTTTTCAAACAGTTAACAATACATAAGCATAAGTAATTAGCAGAGCAGTTTTATCTTATGCTCAGCCATAGTAACATTTCAGCAATCTGGAGATGTTTTTTTTTTTAAAAAAACCTATTAATAGCTCTTCAGAAGTAGGTTGCTATGTCCAGTGTATTTCTTTATCCTAGCATCATATTGCTGGTCAGATAAGTTCCAGTCACTTCACATTTTTTGCTGACGTGTCATGAAAGCTGATTATTTTCTGTTTAAAAGCAAAATATTTTCCAGCCTTGACTTATTTACTTTTATAAGTTACAACATGTATTTCATTATATGTTGTAGTGCAAATGGAATATGTAGTCTTAAGATATAGTGCCTTAGCTGTTTGTAAGCATTAGTAATGTTCTTAATAGTTTTTATAACAAAATTAGCCTAATTTTTAACTTTTTTATTTCCCATAAGCCTTCCCAATTTTTCACCTTTTCTCTTTGCACACAATTATAATAGGCTAATGTACTGTCATTGCATTCAATCTTACAATAATAGATGAATAAAATATATTTCTTTCAAGGTTTCAAAGTTTGAAGTATTTAATCTTCTCAAAGCTGTGACTAGGAATCATAAGAGCTAGAAATTTTACTATAGCAGATTATAGTAACTTGCTAGCTGTGGACTAAGGGGTATATTCCAAAACACATGCTTAACAAGCCAAAGTCAATCAAAAGTAATTTATAAATTGGGGGATTTATCTGTTCCCAAAGTATACAATACTTGCATTCGAAAGGCAGTATTTAGCAGGTTCTGACCAGTTTTGGAGAACCAGTAGCGGACATTTTGAATAGTTCAAAGAACTGGCAAATACCACCTCTGACTGGAGATTTTACAGTATCCTTCCCCTGCCACGCCCATCAAGCCACGCCCACAGAACCAGTAGTAAAAAAAATTGAATCCCACCACTGTTGCATTCCCTTTGTCCTGTGTATCAGTGGTCCCAACTTTTCTGCCACTAGGGACTGATTTCAGAAGAAAAATTGTCTTCTATGGACCAGGGGCTGGGGGGAATGATTTTGCATACAACCAAGATCCTGCACATGTGCAGATGAAGTTTCATTCGCCCGCCACATGTGCAGAATGGTTCCTAACAGACCACAGGCCAGTCCGCAGCCTGGGGGTTGAGGACTTCTGCTGTATATCAGTCAATTGTTTCATGAAGTGCCTGACTTATGAGAGCAGTAAATCAATTTACATATTGTAATGAAAGCCTGTGGCAAGGGAAACATTTTTGAAATAACTTTGCCAACTAAAATTAGGTAGAAATCCAAGATACAACTTAGGGAACATCCTTATTACTGACTTAGTACTTTTTTTGTGGTCATCATAGCTTAGAAAGCCATCCCACCTAAGTACAGCTCCTACAAGCTGGCATCTCCTATGATCATCTTAATGTTCCCCTTTGCAACAGCTGGCTTCTCTTCCTTGGCATCTATCCTTGATTATAGTTGTTACCAGGAAACCATGTTGCCAGAGATTGTTGGACTCTTGAACTCTACCAGTTAAAATCACCTGTTTTGTGGTCAAAGTGATGGGAGTTGTAGTACTACACAGATCTAGGAGACTACAATTTCCCTCTTTTAATGTTTGGGGTGAGGCAATGCTGGTAATGTTTATTTCTATTATCATCCTAGATATTTTATATACATTGTAGTCCATAGCTTCATAAAACAGCCCTTCTGTCATTTATATAGATACGTGTTTTGTCCTGTGGCACTTACATAATTGATATATTTCAATCATTATGGGGGGGCACTTAATTTGTAACCCATTTGTAATTACAAGAATGATGAAATTGACATGTAAATGATCAAGAAGGAATTACCATAAGTTCCCAACTTGGTATTCTGACATTTGACCAGTAACATTGGCTCTGAAAGCCAAAAACAAACTCCCATGAAAACTGTCAGTGAACTTAATGTCTTTATTTTTATTTAAATAATTCTTCATGATGAATCCCCATTTCAGTTTCTCCAGTATTTGTCCTGATTTATGATTGCCTTTGACAGATGAAGGTAGATTTTAAAACACTTACAGAGCGTTTAAAACTTATCACTCCCTAGAAAATCAGTTCCATTAGTCAGTCGCTCTTATGTTCGAAAGCTTTTCCTGATTTTCAACTGAAACCTTCCTTTATTCCTTTATTTAGACTCTGTGATAAGTGTTACTTTTCTCCATGGGACTGACAACTCTTCAAACTGACAGCACAATTAACCCAGCCAGCCCCCCTTTACCCATTCAGATCTCCTTAGCAGTGATTCTGGCAGCATACAATAACATTGAATCAAGGCTGTATGTCAGCCACAAACCATGATATACCATAAGGCCCTTCAAGCAGGTGGCAAGAGAGTGCTGCCAGGGCAAACTAGGCATGGTTTGAGCACTGTAGCCAATCTGTGCTTGGAATTGGGTATTTATGTTGTCAGGCATCAGTAGTGAAGTATATAACAAAGATACTTCCTTTTTTATCCATT